AGCTCCTCCAACACACTTCGGACCTGTGATTTCGGCAGTATCACTTGACGGACTACATGTACTCCATCGGGGCTCTCCCACTTTCGGTGCAATAGGCCAGACTTTATTTTTGAGCCATTCTCGGACAACCTTTAAGTCAATGTCTTTCTTCTGTCCCTGTCTCAGATTTTCAAGGGCGATTTCTTCTTCGTAGCCCTCTGGCTTAATAGTGGTTGCCCGAAGAGTAACTTTATCAAGCGGTTCTTCTCGTTCTTCGAGCCGTCTACTATACCAGCATTGTTCCTCTAAACGAAGTTGCCCGAAGTGAATGTCTGCGTTGCTATGGAGACCTCTTCGATGCTCTACTTTCTGGTTATTGTTAGAAGCCGGCTCGGTGTGGACGATTGACTTCTTCGGAATGCATAGCTGCTGTAATTAATTCTTGTTGGTCTTAGTGATGGGCTTGGAAAGATTGATCTATATGATTTTCCGGTTTCATTCGCTGATTCTCGATTTATAGAATGAGCCATGCTTCTACAGGTTCTTTGAAGATTCCCGATTCTTCCACAAATAAAGCACCTCCTGCTTCCATTTTCGCTGTTTAGTATTGGCCTCCTCACTTTCCTGGAATTTAATTTCCCTCACTTTTGCGCGAGAAGAACTGGATAAGAGTTTTACCGCTTCATATTCCTGGGCTGCAATCAGTTTCTCCCTCAGCGTCTTGTGATGTTGTAGACGTAGGACTTGCTGCATTTCCGCATCTTGTAATCCATCAATGAATGCCTCTATTCCGATTCATTCTTGGAAATCTTTGGGCGCCTGTGGATAGGCCAGATAAATCAATCTTCTTATGTCGGCCTCGAATTCCTGTAGACTCTCATTATGTTTCTGACTACGAATTTTTAGCTGGCTTTGAAATACCCGTTTCAAATGCCGCTGGCCATATCTTGTCTCCAAAGCTTAGACGAGAGATAAATAACTGGATTTCCCTTGAGGAAGTAACTGTAAAACGGTTGCTGCCTGACCTCGCAGTGACACTATCAATGAAGCCGCCATCTCTTTCTCGGTCCAGCCATTGGCTCTGGCTGCATCTTCAAATTGGAGTCGATATGTTTTCTATGTTGTCTGACCGGGTGGCTTAAGGGTTTTGCTAGTATAGTTTTGTGAAACTTTGATTTGGATACGGCTTGGTTCATTTATAGATGAGGACAAGGTAGTGTTTTCAACTTCTCTGTTGCTTATCGAAGCTTGGCTGCGAATTAGTCTTTCTAACTCAACTAGTTCAGTACTAATTTGTCTTTCGAACTCTACTCTAGCCTTTTACTGTTGTTTTAAATTCTCTCGTAGCTGTTCAAATTAGTTTTTAAATGCTCTTGCTGCTCTTTTAAATTAATTTGTAAATGCTCTTGTTGTTGCTCTAAAAGATCTACTCTAATTTTAAGCTGACCAACTTCTTGCTTGAAGATTTACTGGATTTGTAGCAAACCGTTCATAATTTCTACCTCAGCTTTTCTACGTCTTTCTTTTTCCTCCTCCTCTTTCTTCGCCTTTCCTTTTCCTTCTTTCTGCACCTTTCCTTTCTCTTCTCTTCTTCCTTTCTACGCCTTTCCCTTTCCTCCTCTCGCCTTTCCTTTTCCTCCTCTTCTTCCTACTTACGCCTTTCCTTTTCCTCCTCTTCTTCCTACTTACGCCTTTCCTTTTCCTCCTCTTCTTCCTACTTACGCCTTTCCTTTTCCTCCTCTTCTTCCTTCCTACGTCTTTCCTTTTCCTCTTCTCGCTTTTCCTTTTCCTCCTCTTCTTCCTTCCTACACCTTTTCTTTTCCTCTTCCATTTTCAAAAACCATGCTGGTGGGCCTGAAGTATCCATGCCTGCTTCGTACTCAGTGGATCTAGTATTTACCATGAACTTTTACTTTATATCCCACCGCTGTCACCAATGTTACGCTGGTTTTTGGTATCTCAATTTATTTCAACTCAACTTTTACAATAACTGAACAACTGATAACATTAACATGTAACGTCTATCATAAAACGGAAACTCTGACGTCAGGTCGTCGACTCATATAGCTTGCCTCAACCTTTTAGAACCTTCTCGAACAATCCGGATTTTTCTTTGACAAGGAATGAAATTTCGAGACATTTATGGAATATTATTTCTTCATTTACACGTACCTTTACTTATGATGACCGCAGCACGCTGCAGGGTGCTGCGTAACATTATGTGCCTACAAATGAGATGCCTGCTGATGTATTGACGAAAGGATTACCTATCATAAAGCATGAAAATTGTATTACGTATATTGAATTAGTTTAATTAATTTATTTCTTTATGAATTAAAGAACTATTGTCCTACTCAGTCCTACTCATGACACTAGGAACAGATAGACTTGCGCGCATGATATCTCTCTTTCTTCCTCAGCTTACATCAATTTTTGGAAAGCAAAACATCCGCTAGCGTTAACATCCGCTGACACATGAACAGATTGCATTATTTATTAAAGAAAACTCTCTTCGACTGGCTGAGGAACTTGATATCAGTTCCTTTGGAATCTTGTGAAGATAATAGGGGTTGTGATTTAATGTTTATTATGACCTTTTATGTATGATTTTTTTTTGGTGTATCTACTTCTATTTTGTAACCGACGAGTAATTAAAAAAAAATGTTTTTTCTTATCTAAATCTCTTGACACCTATGGTCTATTGCAGGTGGTCTAATAAGCCGAAATCCCTAGATTTTTTTAATTAACAGACGAGATTATATTAATATAGTCTCAACTTACACACTTTAAATATCTACTAGTTTCATTTCTTAATTACCTAGTGTGTACGCACCTGTCACCTTCTTGAAGAATTAATTCATTCAAGTAAAGGTGGCTTACAAAATCGTACTGAGGAGTTTTTAACGAAATGCATTGAGACCGATGATATATTTAACAATTAATGGAGACTCACTGAAAATTGCCAAGTCAAAGGGACTAAAAGATAGTTTGACAGAATTAAGTACAATACCAGTTGTATAATTTATTTCTAGACAAAGAAAAATCAAACCAAGTAAATGTCAGGTAACTCCTGTTTTAAATAGTACTTCCAGTTTAAAGGAGGCAAAATTAAAGGACAAACCAATGAAACCAGAGAAAAAAGAAGAATCATATTTAAGAAGTTCATTACAGAATCTGCAGAGGCAGAAAAGAAGCCATTTTATAAATACGAGCATGATGATTACTTAAGTACCCATTTACTACACAGAAGAGTACAAAATGTACAACTTAGAGAAATAACCTGGATACAAAATGATCTTGCACGATTTGGGCTCATGCTGATTGTGCTGGAGTAGAAATACAACGAAAAATACTGCAAAATTTGTACGGATCCATTTTTTTTAGTTCTGTATTTAAGATACTATAAAAAATTGTCCCTTAGATTTTAACGTTATCCTTGTACGAGTATTTAGTTTGTCAGTTGTTCAAAAATACATTTCTTTAAACAAATTTTCGACTTAATTAAAAACCCTATGTCATTCTCTACATCCAAAATTAAATTTATAGATTTATTTGCATTTCATATTGTTTAAAATCTTTCAATTCTATCGCGGATTTGCCAAATCTATTTTTGACAGTAGGTCTAAAAATTCGTTAATTGACTAGTAAAATAACAATTACCTAAAACAAAAAATATTATCCGGTATTAAACTAATGCATTTTTATGTATCACATGCTATTTTAGATAGATGCAGTGTTGCCAAATATATAATAATAATGTTTATTCATATAAGAAATTTTTTTACATTAAATACAATACAAATGGATAATTCAGAATAAACATAAAAAAATCACAGAAGTGAAAATTTTATGTTATATAGATACAATAAAATAGGTTTTTTGAACAAGTTAGTATATAGACACAGAAGAGAACAAGTCACAATCAGAAACAAAATATACTTGATATATTCGGTTAAAAAATCACATTAGGGAAATTAGGACGTAATTTGGGTAAAAAGTTACAATAGAGATCGGACAATGTAATTTAGTTTAAAGAAGTCAGTTTCCATTTTCATTATTATAAAATAAATAATTAATAATACACTTCACCACTTTACCACTAGGAGAGATTAAAAAAGAATTGGGCAGTAGAAGAACCGATAATTGGAACAATCGCTTGGGGCTGAGACAGGCTAAGATACTTCTGGGAGAATATAACCAGAAAAGACTGGAAGCCTGCATCTGCCTGAGCAAGAGCAGGCTACGTATTGTAACAGGGAACCTTAATGGGCATTGCCGACTAAAAGGTCACCTAAGTAAACTGAGAGTAGTAGAAGATAGTAAGTGCAGATTCTGTGAGGAGGAAGACGAAACCTCCATTGCCATCCTAACTGAATTTGTAGCACTCTAGAATCCAAGGGCACTATATCTAGGAGGATATCAAATAGAAGAGGGAGATTTACCCAACTTGAAGCCACTTCAAATCCTACACTTTCTTGAGAGAATAGGATTGGAAGGGTCGTTATAGGCATTGAGACATTTCCTTAGTGCATTGGCGACAGAAGGGGGCAAAATAGATCTTTTAGGTCACAGTGTATTAACACCCCATTCTCAACATAACATAACATAATATAACATATGGTTCTCATAGCATTTACATTTTACAGAACAATGGACGCCAGGTCACAAGCTGCGGTTGTCCATTGTTCATAGCATCTAATTAATTAAACATAAGTACAAACTATAAGTTCATCGTTAAAATTTACTAATTTTACAAATATCTGTGTATACGAAAGCGTATAGCGTAAAAATAAGAACATTTATGACCTTGTTATAGAAGAAGATGTATATTCAAGAGTCACTAAACTTTATTTTATTTTATTTCAACTTTATTCGACGATGTTAGTAAGGGAGTATTATTTATAGGATTTACATAGAGAAAATGGAATACATAGATTGTTGTGCACTTTTCTAAAAGCTCAAAAAAATACTATTTAAAACGCATGCTACAAAAATATACATATTTTGTCTATTGACCTTACCGGTTGGTAGAGGTTTCATTCTATCAGCTGAAAGACTAGACACGGCAGGTGAATATGTTCTCAAAAAAGTAGCACCACGTGGTAAACTTGCAGTCGAACCCATATAATATGGAGCACCTTTTCCTGCGCTACCCTGTAACAAAAAATTCGATTTTAATACAAAATATAGAGAGTCTTCAACAATAACCGTATCCCACATGAAAATGGTCATTCTTAGTGACTTTATGACAATACTTTGTCTTAAATATGGATCAAGTCATTCAATAACAATAAAGACATTCAAAATGGCCATTATCAGGCATAACATGTTACAAGTTTTTATAAGGTTGTTAAAATTTACAAGTTGTATATCAGCTACGAGATACATCGTCAGAAGTAAACGCGAAACAAATTGTTAATTTAATGTAATAATTAAAGTTTTTATAAATAAACAATAATAATAATATTTATTCATAAAAAAAAACATTTACAATGGAATGTAGAACATAGAGAATAAATATAAATGTTCACTGAAGCTGCGAAAACATAGCTTGTGTGTGATATTCAACAAAAAATTAAAAATGTATATTAAATTAATTAAATTTAAGTCTCTTATTTATTACATTATATATTTTACATAGATGAAAGAATATCAAATCAAGAATAATATAAGTAAAGGTGGTTTTGTAAAATATCATAATTCTTAAATTTAGGTAAAGTCTTAATTTGGCAAGTATAGGGTCATGAACACATCCTCAACTAGCCATTGATAAAAGTGTATTTATTGTGAAGCCATCACGCCATCTCTAAATCGGAGTGAGACGACCGATTATATTCATAAAACATTTCTGACAGCGCCCCATCATCATCATCTACTAACTGTATAGTTCAGGAGACAGTGACGATTTTCGGTATTTATTTTCCCAGTCAGCCAACATGGATGGAGAATTGTAGGGTTAGCAATTCTAAACAAAATTCATATATATTTAGATTTTTCTGTGAGTATGGATACTATATCTGGCTAGTGCATAAAATACACTTTCCAACTAGTTGTGTACACAATTTTTCCTACGATCACAACTATTTAAAGAATGTTTTGTATATTAAAGTGTACGTATATCACAATATAGCACATCAATTGGTTTATTTATAGAAATAAAACATAATAATTGAAGAGATTACTAAAGAAAATAGGAAGATAAATTACACTTCCTTTTACACTTTTATATAATAATTATTTTGTTTAGAATTCAGGAAACACTTATTGCTATTTAGTTTTAGAATTTCTTTACAATTTTGACAAAAGCCTAGTCTACAATAATTATAATGTCAAATTATTTATACTAGAGGTGTGAGAAAAAGACAGTAAACTGTATATTCAAATGGAACGCTTATAGTGTTGGGTATGCGTGGTAGAAATGGCCTCTAATGCTGCTAAAAACATAGCTAAATTTTCATGAAAACACTGTACTTTTGACATTTGCCATACTTCGACGCATACGCATTATTGATGTAATCTCATGAGTTTACAGTACTAGTTTTTGCAATTTTAAGTGTGATTTTAAGGTTATTACGGTTATTTGTTTTGTTTGGTTCTGATCTTTGGCGTTTTTAGAGTATTTGTCTTTTATAGTTATAGATTTTAATTTGAATTTTAATTTTGTGGTCTATTTATATTTGATTGCTGCTTTTTGATTAGTGTTTTGTTCTTTCTGTGTTAAAATAAGCTTCGTAACCATTAAGTATCTGCTTCTGGTTCATATCTACCTAATCGTCATCGGGTTCTTACAACAATGGGAAAAAGTGTATGGTTTTGTAGCGTAAAAGTCAGATGGCTCTATTTTTTAGGTAAGTATGACTAGTATGACTAGTTATTTTTGCTTAAACTGATAGCAATACGTGCGAGGTGCGACTGTTGGGTTTTAGCTATCTGAGCCAAATTGTCGGCTGTGTCCGTTTTTGGGCCACCCAGAACCGAAAACTATATACTTATATATCATGTTTTTTTAGAATAACTTTTAATAGGTATGCACTGAAACACTGACAGCCATAAATGCCGTTTGGTAATGTATTATACTTTTGGTACCAAATTTGAATATGATCTGCAATTAAAACACTATTTTTTTTTTAGTAAATGATTATTTTCTACGTTATACCTTGTTTAATAAGAATGATCATTTCTCTTAATGAATATCTTTTCCTTAAAAAAGTTAGATGCGATGTTATAAAATAATAGTTGTCGGATATCCATAACTTTGGAAGTTTGAAAGAGTATATTACCAGGAAAATTTCTGGATTTATTAAGTATCATTTTTAAAAACCAGTTTTGGGTCACTTCCAAGTATTTCATGTTAATATCATAGACTCCTCCCCAACCCAAAATCCCGTAGTTGCAGATGAGATTGTACTAGACTGTAATAGATAGAGGATTTTTAAATATTAGATTTTTAAAAAAGTTTATAAATGCCTAAATCGTGATAGTAGTCCTATCAACTCATTAATTACATGTTTTATTTGAACATCCCATTTAAAACGTTGGTCTAATACAATCTCTAAATATTTACTATGATCAGGTTTCGGTATGGAAGGAGCATTTTCTATTGTAAAAGATTAAAAATTGGGTAAATTATTTGCATAAGAAGTAAATGAGACAAATTTTGTCTTTTCGTAGTTTAAAGTAAAGTAATATAAATATTCGTATATAAATTTGCAGAATGTATCAAATAAGAAGCTAAAAAACAAAAAATGTTTGTTAGTTGGTCAAGAAACCAGCGACTCTACGAGAAAAAGTAATGTAAACAAAGTGTTCTCCTCGTGATTGGGACAAAATCATAAAAATAGTATAGAAAGCGAATTCCATGTATCAAAAATGAAACCATAAGGAGAAAATAGTTTGACGGAGCTCATGCGCATAACGGTGCTAGCTCGGACAGGACCGGTGCAAGTTTTTTATTGATCGAACAACTAGTTCACACGATGTTTCAGGTTGGAAGTCATACATTTTTAGAGATGATTCTATATAAAAAAGTAAGGTAAATATGGTTCTGAAAGTCCTCATTAAGAAAGATATGGCATAAAATATGAATTAGTTAATTTTCGGCAATTATTAGTGCTATAGTCACGAGATTTTGCTTGTGACCTGACATTTTATTTGATTTAGTATGACGTCATGAGCGTTGTGTAAAGGTATATATTCCAAATAAGCAACATTTCATGTTCCATTGGTCTCAGGAATAATAGAAGTGGCATCTCATTTAAAATAAAACGGAAAATAACAGAACTGTCAGAATATTTTAGATGAAAAGATCTATTTATTATTTTTAACAAAAAACCATTCATTGTCTATTCATATGGCCCTAATTAAAAAGAACTATTATTCAAAATATGTTAAAATTCTCATAATTTTAGAGAGTCAGGACCTGGTGAGGCATCCATCGTCGGACTGTCGTGCGAAAAAATCGAGGAAAAATCATTTTGTATGTTACTTGATAATATTAAATTGTTAAAATCAGCTATATCTTTTATCTCAAATGTGTCTATAGGTTCATACGGAATATCACACAAATACAGATCCATACTAAATAGATAATTTTTTTGTTTAGAGCTAGCTGTGTTTCCAGAAGTTTTCGGTATACTTGGAGTAATCTTCTCCGGTTTGTTGTCGACCTTTTTTTGTTAAATTAATATTTTTTATTGACTTTCCGTTTTCCTCAGTGAAAACTTCTTCTTCCTCTTCTAGATTTGTTGTTGGAGTAGGCTGGGCACTATTAGATTTTTGGGGAAGTACCACTTCGAACTAAGATTCTATATTTTGTTCAATTATTTCGCCTTCTAGTTGCTCAACTGTATATAGTACCTCTTCTACATAAAGTTTGTAATTCTTAATATAGGCTTGTGAATTGTTTGCCTTTGTTAGTATAAGATGTTTTACTAACGTTTTCGTAATATCTTGATCCTCCAGACTTTGGTCGTTTGATATAGATATACCTGTTCCTCTAATTTGTTGTATACTTTGAAAGATTTTCTGTTTTTTAAGTACGACATAAATTCTAGGATGACAGTGTTTTTCTTCCCTATGAAAAAGATGTTATTTATATCTGCCTCAGTTAGGATTAAATTAAAGATTTCGTTTAATTTTCCAAGGGTCTCGATTAGTAGATTCTCTCGATTTGCCTGAATCCCAAATATATCTATATTGTTTTACCTGTTTGCTCTTTCAATATGCTTTACTTTTTTCTCCAAATTTTGGCATTTCATTTATTGATTTAATTTCTGTTTTTATTTCTGCAGTTTTTCAATTAATAATCGCTTTCAATTTATGTAAAAGCTCTTCATTCGAAAGATTCATATTTTAAGTTTAGCTACCTGCCTATATAAGTAGTGTACCTCTTTATCAGTTTTCTGTTTTTGTGTAAAAGCAATTAGTTTTTATCTTTTATAGCGAGATAAAACTTATATTATTAATTAATTTTCGTAACTATGTAACTTTATGAGGGATGATTTTCTCTATCTAATAGTATAAGTTTCAACTTAATTGCAGCATTTTTATCCACTAACATTATAAGATTTCTTGGACAAACGAACATCAAACTTTATAGGTAAACGTACCCAAATACCCAAATTGAATACTTTATTTCATAAAACCCTTAGTGCGACCCTGTTTACTAGCACGGCCACATTCTACCAACACCTTAGATAAAAGAGAGCAGAGATATAACATACACCGGTGTTTAACCTGCGCAAATGTTGCCAATTTCTAAAGAAAGGTTAACGGAGTGGGGGAACTGGGCAGAAACCCGAAATCTGTGACAAGGACCGGACTTTGTTTATTAGCATCATAATGAACTATTAGATTTATTTAAAATATATGTTTAATGGAATTTTGTATTATGAAATAAAATTAACGTGATTTTTTAATATCAAACAGATGCACAACATTTTATGTAAAAAGAAGACTTTTTATAGAATATTTCGTTAGCGTTTATTTACTACGGACTTTTCAGCAAGATACTACAGTAAAATGTTGAAATAGAATATTGTTAATAGAGCAAGAAATGGTACTCATTGTCTACGAGTATTATAAAAAAGCATGTGCGCAGGCGAATACTGCAAATCAAACATTTGAGGCACACATTATATTTTTTCTACGGCTAT